ACATTCTATAAACCACTAATTCTGTGTGTCGGTTTGTCGGTATGTATGTATGTATGTATGTCTGTCCGTCCGCAAAATGCTTCACGGGTTCAAACACGTCAGTGTAGGAGAGTGTACGACCGCTAGCCGGTGGCGAAACCAGTTGGTGCAGATGTATCAATCCAATGTTTTGATTGTGATAACACCCTGCACTATATAAGAGAACCATGTAGTGCACTCCAAACCATTGCACGAGCTGCTCGCGTGGCAGGTGGACGTGAGCACGTGCAGCGGCCGGGATGGGGAGTGGGTGGGGCAAGTGGGAGTGGGGAGGGTATAATGTGGGTGGGATTAGTGAGGGAGAGTACGGGAGGGGAAGGCATAGAGTGCGTTTAGTAGAAACTCATCACAAGTGTGGTAATAAAAGCGCCAATGAAAGCGATAAGGTGAATAGAGGAAGGATCAACCGCTAGCAGAGTCGTGAATAAAATCCATGTTTTGGTATCACTTTGAGGCAATGTGTGATGTTTACAACCTCACTATATAAAAGAATCATGTAGTGCACTATAAGTGAGCTACTCGCATGAACATGTTGGTCAAAGATTGTTGACTATTTGTACAAAAGAAAAGCCGGTGAGGGGAAAGGTAAGTGCGGCGGAGCCGGGCCCGCTCAGCAAATCCATTCTTTATCTCAGAAGAAGGCGTGCAGGCATCAGCCGGCAAAGCCGGCTGGTCATTCTATAAACCAGTAACTTTGTGTGTCGGTTTGTATGTTTGTATGTAGGTTTGTAGGTTTGTATGTATGTATGTTTGTCTGTCCGTCCGCAAAATACTTCACGGGTTCGAGTTCGCTGGAGGCGAAAACGACCGCTAGGCAAACCGGTAACCGACTGGGAGGATGTAGCAGTCCAATGATTTGATTGTGATAACAGCCTCCGCTATATAAGACAACCATTCGGTACACTCCGAGCCATTGCACGAGCTGCTGGCGTGGCAGCTGGACGTGTGCTCGTGCGGGGGCAGGGTGGGGGTCGCCCTGCCTCCCTCTCCTGCACGTGCTCAGCCGGAGCTGAGCAAGTGTATGGGAGGGAGGCAGAGGGGAGGGTCGCGGGGGGGGTACAGTGAGGGGTGCGTAGCGCGCGTTTCAGTAGAAACGCGCACCAAGGGATGAGGAAACAACCGCTAACAAAACTGCAAGCCAATCTATGTTACCGTAACGAACTAAGAAGTTGTTTTGGTTGTGATAACACTCTCCACTATATAAGAAAACCACTACACTCCGAGCCATTGCACGGGTTGCTCGCGTGGCAGTTGGACGTAAGCGCGTGCAAGGGGCAAGGTGGGGGGGGGGGGTGGAATGGCGAGTACGGAATGGGGTGAGGTGAGGAAGGTGGGAGTTAGTATCGAGTGACCCCCTTCTCCCATCCTCACTCCCTTGCGCGTATCAGTCGGATCTGAGCCCATGCAGGGGAAGGAGGCATATGGATTGAATCGGGCAAACTGGGTACAGTAAGGGGATGCGTAGCGTACGCTTGAATAGGAGCAGGCGGCAAGAGAGAAGGAAAGAACCGCTAGCAAAACTGCAAGCTAATCCATGTTACAGCAACGAACTAAGAAGTTGTTTGGAATTGCTCCCGCTATCTAAGCCAACCACTGTGATATACTCTGTGCTACTGCAGGAGCTGCTCGCTTGGGAGCTGGACGTGAGCACGAGCAAGGCGGTGGTAAGAACAGTGGCGGCGTAGTGTCCCTATGTTGCATGGCGGCTGCATACCACGTGCGGGAGTGGGTGCCGGTTGAATAGGGTCAGTGGGATATGATGTGGTGAGGGGATACCAGATGAGAACGGCGATTTCGCGATTAGGAGCACATAGCCCCTGCGGCGGTAAGGCGTACGGTTGCGACAAGATGGGAAGAAAATGGATCGACCGCAATCGGATCTGAACCGATTAATGTTGCATTATCAAATTGTGGTAGCGTTTTGATAGTCATAACACCCTCCACAACATAACCATAACACCTCATAACACAACCATTTAGTGCACTCAGAACCATTGCACGGGCTATTCGCGTAGCAGCTGAGTGTGACCTGTAGGGTGGCTGAGCGGGGAATAGCTGAGGTTAGTTTGGGGATAGGTGAGGTGAAGGGGTACCATATTGGCGCGACCGACGCTCGCCTGAACAGGAGCACGCAGCGACTGCGGAGACCGAAGAATCCGTGGCTGTCATAAGATGGGAGGACAGTAATCGATTATCCATGACCAGATTTTAAACTTTTCATTATAAAAGTGCCCTGCGACTATATGGCGCGTTCCTACATTTATTTGATTAGAAGACACCGGTTAGTCACCATGAGAGCATCATAAATGCCTAAGACAGTAGTATCGCCTGCTATGCCCTTACTTTGCTCCTTTTTTTCACGAGTTAAGTGAGGCTCTAAAGCAGTTGCATGAGCCCGGCGAAGCCGGGCTTCCAAGAAGGAGGAGAGCTCGGCGTTAGCCGGGCGATCCGACTGGTTGATACATATACGGTACACTAATGCCTTAGAGAAAGTTGAGGTGATAGGAAGGTATAGCTGTCTGCTACCATCCTCTCCAGTACGTCCTCCCACTCCTGACGCTGCTGGTAACCTGGTGGAACGACGCTGGTAGACGCTGGTGGATCGCTAGATCGATATCTATACCTTCCTAGTTGCTGACGCTGCTGGACGCTTGGAGCGCTAGTGGTCGCTGGTGGACGAGCGCAACGTATGAATGGCAGCCTATACCTAACCCTACACTGCCAATAATGCCCAACTCCATCCACCGCACCGTGACCACTGCAGTAGGCTAGGCCGACTTCGCAACTTACTATTAGGCTTTTAGCTTACTTATTCTACCCCAGTCGGATGGCAGCTCTCCTCAAACTTCTCGTTGAGCTCGGCTGTCGCCAAACAGGGCTGCCCTGGTTCGCCAGGCACCTCCATAAATTTTTTTTTTGTTTTTTTTTTTATTTTTTTTTTTTTTAACATGGAATTTCTTCGGTAGTGGGATGGCTTATAAGGCGCATGATAGTGATGAATCGTCAACAGACAGAGCAATGGCTTAATCGATTCCCGCACAATCTCAGCACGACCTTGGTCCTTCTATTTACAGCGGCGGTGTAGTCCGCGCCATGACGCCCATAGAATACATAAATCTGTAGATAGATACGACGTGTAGTCGGCCAATACAGCGCAATATGAATGGCTCAATAGCAGATTTTGTTTTCACCTTAACCTGCTCAGAACACCGGAGATGCCCACCATAAATCCAACCATACAACACCTTTCCTTTCAATTTAGCAAATGCGTATCCGCTCGTGTGAAGTGTTTTTCGGTTCTCCTCGATTTCCCCGAGATTCCTATTCAGACATTATATAGTAGGATGAGTTCATTTTCTAAGGCTATCAGGGAAGTGATGGCTGAAGGAAAAGTATGCACACTGAGCCTTTGATACTTGGGGTATAGTGATAAGAGAGGTAATGATAATGACCCCTTATCGTTTCTTATCGATTGATAAGATCCTGTCACCCGTCATCAATGTCCCTATCATTGAAACTCTATAAGTTGGTAGTGTAAAGGCTCCAGCAATTTGACTGAACAGCATTGGCAACGCTCCTTATCAGCCCCTATCAGCTGTTATCACCTCATGTGCCGTGTCCCCATCCCCACTCTATATCATTTTCAGAAATTAATGCCTAGCTGATGCTGTGTTCCGCGTTATGAGTATGGTGACCTTACCGTTCTAACTCACCTTATCAAATCTTATCAGCTGCTATCATTCCCTGTCACCCATCAATAATGTTCCTGTCCCACGTCCTATATCATACCTTGGAACCAATGTCCCACTGTTACTGTGTCCCGCACTATGGACTCGGTCACCCTCCCCTTCTGACGCCTCTTGACGGATCTTATCAGCTGCTATCATTCCCTGTCACCCATCAATAATGTTCCTGTCCCACGTCCTATATCATACCTTGGAACCAATGTCCCACTGTTACTGTGTCCCGCACTATGGGCTCGGTCACCCTCCCCTTCTAAGGCCCCTTATCGAATCTTATCAGGTGCTATCACATTCTATCACCCACCAAAAGTGTTCCCGTCCTGCCACGTATATCACTTCTTTGGAACTGTCGTCTGTCCTAATTCTCTTCTCTTGTATCGTTCTCGCTTTATGAATTTCGTGACAGACAGACCACATAACACTAAACAAACACACTTACATACTTAGCGGATTATATTTAGTAGGCATGTTCGCAGTAAGGTGAGGTCATTTTGAGGTAGGGGTTGTTGTGTGTGGTGACTACCGCCATTTCGTATGCACATACTGCAATACTGAGCATTCATGGTAGTGCAGCTTCTCACACCATTATGTAAGCCACCATTTAGGGTGATCCCGAGAATATCTGTCAAAGTGTGGAAAAGGTGACTTCTCCATCCATGGCCCCTACACCACGATCTTTTTTTTTTTTTTTAGGGTGTTCTTCGGCTGTATTCCCTGTCATTTGCAGTGGAAGGTGGGCAGGAGCAAATTGATTACGAGTGTAAAAACTAACTGATTGGACTTCGAAATTCAGGTACATTCAGACACCATGCTTATACAAATACAAAACAACAAGTAACTCTTTAAGCATTTATAAACGTTGCATTGCATTTTGACTGTAAGCAGACAGGTATTTTGATTACAAGAATGTTCGTATAAGACAAATGAAGCACGGCAATTCCTGGTCGCTGCGGGATCATCAGCAGCCTGGCGTCGGGATTCTTCTTCGGCGTTGGTACAAAAGGAATCGTTTTAAATTGATCGTATGTCTTCCGCTGGAATTGAATTTTGATAACTAATCGGGGTAAGAAGTCAATGGGGTGTAAGGTAGAAGCATAATGTCAAGAGATTGCTACCACCAGGGCACGTCGTACCCTGCGGAATACCCAGCGGGGTTGTATTTGCTCGCTTTTCTAGGAGGCAGTCGTAACTGGCTCTGGATTTTTTTACCGTTTTTTGCGTTTTCGCATTTACGGTAGTACATACCCCCATTTTGGCTTTAACGGTATTAAGTTCTAGGGGAAAAAATATGATATGAAAAAGGGATTGAGTTTTAGCTGTCCGTAGACCACCAGCGACCGGCAGTAGGGAGTATGGAGAAGTAGGTGTGCAGAAGACTACTGGTGGAGTGTGGTGAAGCAGGAGGGAGGAGACAGCTGGAATAGGCGTCGAGAATGGTGACGTGTGCAACCGCACCCACTACCACACAGTACCGTACGGGGACGCTGGTGGACACTGCCATTCGTTAGATTGATATCTATAGCTTCCTAGTCGCTGACGGACACTCGAAACGCTGATGGTCGCTGGTCTCCACTGCCGCAAAGTATGAACGCAGCCTCAGAGACAAATGAAGGAAGAGGGAGGATTCTGCTGGTTCTTCCCCTCAGACCATACAACATCCCCACCGCGCTGGTGTCATTTTTAAACACTCCTTTTGTGATTTTCACCGTTTTCTTTTCAGGATCTCACTGATGAGGGCAATTTGCTGAATGCTGCTGTAATACTTGATGTTGTTGCTGGCAAATTGGCACTTGTAAATATGCCCAATGAGCAGTTAGTCTACTGAGCAAGTTTCACTTTTCTTTGGAGCAGATCCAAACACGCTCTTTTTCTAGGATTTTACTGGACATATATGGAGAATGGGAAACGCTACGATCACGTGATACAGCTTATTTCAATAAGGATGTATTATTCGGGAATACGATCCGATCCATGGTTAACCTCTTCGGTAATACTGTTGCAATATAGATGGGCTCTAATGTAGATTGGGGGGGGGCAGCCGGCAGCAAAATCAGGCCACGCCCGTCTTCTGTTCTCCTGCGCCCTCTCACCGACATGGAATTCCCACGTGGTCCACCCACCACAGCTCTGTCGTCGAAGATGGTGAGAGGAAAGAATGTGTGTCACTCGCAGGCAACCCCTTCAACTGCAGTACCGCCTGCTCTGCTTTCCTAATTGGGGTCCTGTTTATGTTGTAGCTTGCTTTTCGGTTCCACTACAGTTGGAATGAGCCGCGCTTGTTCCCTACCAGACTGGGGTGTGCAGCTGCAGCAGGTATTGTCCAGCAGGCAGGGTACAGCATCGTTGTGTGGAAGACATGGAGGGTTCGTACTTTTCCCTCTGGGGGGCTCGTACTTTTCCGCTGCCGAAGGGGAGCAGGGTCGTATTTGGTTGTTGTTGGGAGAGGAGGAGGTCATGTGTGGCCTTGAGAGGATTTTGCCTGCAAGGGGAAAAAATTTTCCAGGCTGTCAACTTTTCGTGATTTTCCGTGATTTTTCCCTTTTCCGTTTCATGCGTATTATGTACCCCCTCCAACCTGCTCGCTCCCCCACTTCGCTCGACAACGAAATTTTTGAGTGAAAAACTGGAAAATGTGGGAAACTGGTAGGTAGGTGCGGAGAGGGGGGGGGGGCGTCGTACCGAGACATTTCTTGAGGGGGAACACCACATTCACACAACACGATGCTGTACCTTGATAGCAGGTCGAAAAGGAGCGTCCTGGTAACGGCTGCACACCCCCGTAACGACTCTCCCCTCTCACACCGTGCTAACTGCAAGACTGTGGGGGGAGGAGGGCGGAGTTGCAACTGTGCCAGAGCCCAGGCGGAAGAGAGGCAGAGAAACATGCAAAGAGGGTGCCAGATAGAAGAGAGAGAGAGACATGCGTAAGAGAAAGAAAGGGGAAGAGGGTCGCGGACAGGGAATACGCTACCGTCGCCGGGGCATCCCTCCGGTATGCACCTTACCTAATAAGTAATCGTCTCTCATTCGCTTGATCCTTCGGCGCCCTCGTAGCCACGCCTCTCGTTGCTCTGAGATAAGGCTGGTTGAGGCACGGATCCATTTTCGCTAGAAAAAAACCTTTTGCAGATAGCTCATTGCGTGAAAAGCCTCGAGAAGCTAGAAAGATCCCGGAAACGAAGCTTTTGCCTAGTTTAACCACTATTGTTGATCCTACGACGATCGTCTATTATATGGTATGTGTATGGCACATATAGTAATTAATTATAACTAATCTGACACTTCTCTATTGGCTGTTTTTCAGCGTGACGATCTGGGCTACTTAAGAGAGGTGGACTTTGTGGCGTCATACAAAAAAGAAAGAACCCCCTAAGCCGTGTGACATGTGATAGCGACGTCCATATTGATTTTATCCAAACGTGTACAAACAAATTCCTTCTTAATCTATAACGATACATTTTAATGACCAACTTTTATACGATTAATTAAATGTTGTACTGGAACGATCAGAACCAATAAAAAATTATACATGTGTATCGCGCATACTCTAAACTCTTCAGTTGCACTCCACATCTGAGAAATAGGCTGGGCGTGGCCGCGTACTTCAGGGTGTGGCGTAGCTGCACTTCCGATGGGATAGACTCGTTTTGGAGCAAATGTAATCAAGTCTGTCAGGTCTTAAAGGTAGAATTCGAGTGTCATAACAATATCGTAGGTAGCGCGGTTGAGGAACCGAATTGTACGTGCTGATTGACTTGCTGGTAAAGAAAAAAAAAAGGAAAAAAAAGTCGAGAAGGCTTCAAGTAAGGCCCAACTTGTGCCATGCGGAAGGTAAACAATCAATGTGAATATCGGGAGAGAGGCCAGAGAAAACAGAGAGAGAGCATGCAAACGGAGGAGCACGCAGACAAGACATCTATCATCTTGGGCGGAGTCACTTGAGAAACCTTGCTCCTGATGGGAGACTTATGCAGGGTTGTTCGTTACAGTTCACACTACCTGTCCAGATGAAGAGTTTAGCTATAAGTGATCGTGGGGTCTGCCTTCAACCTGGCATTGCCCCAGGACTACTGGCCAGGACACACACTCTTCGCGGATATCTATCCACTTTTTTCGAAGCTGGAACAAAATTCGAAAGTTGGCTGGGAATTTGCTCCCAGGCTAGAATGAGGCCCCGAACACCAATGTGACACTTTTTGGCAAGAAAACATTTCTGGGGTTTGTGACGGGCCTTGACAGGTCTACCTCCGACGGGAACTTGATCCCTCTAATCGTGTTGGTTTTCTGTTTTTCTCTGCAGTCTCTCGTCTGCATGATGTTCCATGACCCTGTAACCCATAAAGTCCAGCTTTTCACGGATGATGAGAGTGAACCCTGGCCGAGGCAGGATTAC